TCTCTCTCTCTCTCTCTCTCTCTCTCTCTCTCTCTCTCTCTCTCTCTCTCTCTCTCTCTCTCTCTCTCTCTCGCCGATTGTTGGCATGAATAGAGGAGTGACACCGACACGGACCCGAACCCAAGGGTCCCCAACACCCCCCAAAAAACAAACACCGCGGTATGCACTTGGTTGCATCTCCTCACCACATTACACACAAGATATTTTCCAAACCATGCAGCATGTTTTTCTGACACAACGCACGTGCATGCCTGCTGGTGCGTACTCTCCCGTTCGTCCTGTACCCTCGGCAACTTGTCTCAGACGAAAGTGAGCTCCAAATAGTACGAGAAGGGGGACTGGCCCCAATACTTGAAGGGGCCACCTCATCCAACGTCGAACTCCAGTCCCAGTGCGCGCGGGCATTGCGCAACCTCTCCGTCAACCGTGAGCAACTCATACCATGTACTGTAGTTTGTGATATGCGTGCATGACGGGAGACTCTCTACACTTCGTTTTAGAATTTGCTTTGGACCAGGAAAATACCTCCCAAGTATATTTACTCCACGTGCCAGCACTGATGGGTGGTGTTGCCGTAGCATGCTTAAGCTCGATTGTTCTGGTGGTGAAAAAACTGGGAAATCGGTAAGTGTTTTTCTTGCCAGCGAAAGCCGTCCCACCTGCCACACCCTCGCAACGCACTCACTCGCTTTCGGACCGGCGCTTTTCCTTGCCTAACACACGTTCATCGCTCAGCCTCGAACAAGAGCCGTATCCTGGACATGGGTGGTCAGGAGATCTTGTCGACGTTGAGTCGATCGTCAGACAAAAAGATTAGACAGCAAGCAACCAAAGCGATGGCAAACTTAGACTCAGCGTTGACGACCAGGAAGTGAGAGTGCGAGCCGAGGTTGGTTGCGATTTGCCACCTTTTCGGCAGTCTAGTGCTGAAAGTCACCCCGTTGTAGGTACTACATTTTTGAACCTACGGAGAAATACGGATGAAGCGGGGGGCGGACGTGGATGCTTGTTTTTGTCAACAAGAAGAGAGGCCCTCCGTTTTGGCTCCACAGCAACCGCTGAGCAAACGATGATGTTGCGTTACGCCTCGCTGAGCCACGACAATCACTGGGCCCCGTTTTGCTGCCTGTCTTGGACTGTTCGGACCATCCGTTGCTGACTTGCATTTCATATAGTCCCTGGCGTTAGTTGGCGCCGCACGCATTTACTGCTGTAGGCCAGCGACGACGTCGTCTTCACCATCACGCTGAAAGAGACTATGAATACATGGAATACAGCTCCAGGGCTGAGTGAATGAAAACGAATCAGTTTCAACGGAACATGACAGATGATGTCGGTCAACTCTCTGGCTTCAAAGAATGATGAGAGTCTGCACGAGGTGATAGTCGACTACAACCCGTGTGGCGAGAGTGCGCCGGGTACATGTCGTGGTGTGCATGTTCACGTAGCATCGACTGCGCAAGCTAGCTGACCAATTAAAAGACGTCAGTCTCACAGCTGGACACAACAAACGCCAACACACTTTCCTAGTCAGTAGGCTCGCACGACAGGTGGGCGAGCGTGTGTGGCAACGATCGTCACCGATCACAAACGCCATTCTTCTCTGAATAAGTCCGTGACTTGGCGGCACGTTTGGTGCCCCTTTTGATTGCTAGTCTGGTGTACCTTGTGCTGCTCGGTGGTTTCGTTTTCCGTTCGCGACGTCGGGCTTTCAATGTACCCAGCAAAATGAGCTTTCCAACCAGCAATTGATCGATTCGAACATGGCGTTTCCGAGCCGGGTCGTCGTATTTTTGGGGCCACATCGCTCTGTGGGGAATTTGGAGACAAGAACACGGGTGTCAGCAAAAAAAATCCGTATGCTTCAATCGTGGGACAAAACTACCTGCGCTACGTACGATCCTCTAGATACACTGCTTGGGAACTTGAAAAAACGCGTACGCTAGCACAGAACCTACAACCCAAACAACAAAACACGTTTCCAGCGGTGAAATCCCGATCGTCGAACATCTATCTCCGATCTATTGAAACCAACATTTGCGGCCGTTGGCAGCCTTCGCCTACCGTTCTTGCACCAATCACATCACGATCGAGAAGCGCCGGACTCTCAATCAACACTCTCTAGTTCCCAAGGATAACGTTCCACAACACTACTACAAGTATAATCTCTCGACCCATCACGAATAAAAAACTTAAACGTCATGATTCTTGTGCGGTGCCCCGGCAAACAACAAACACTTCATTTTCCCACAACCCTACCGTTTCGGCACATGGATTGACAAAAAACAGCTCTCAAAGGAGGCCGGTGCACTTTCGAATGTCTCCGCCACAGCGACCGCGCGTGAGCTAGCATAGCCCGGCGAAACGCTTCACCGGGACTACCCCGGCTATTTAGCCTCTAGGGTTGAAGCCCTGCTGCCGTTGCTGCTGCAGCTGCTGCTGCCGGAGTTGTTGTTGCTGCCACAGCTGTTGCTGCGAAGAAAACACAGCAAAACAGAATGTGAAGAAGAAACGAGTCAGCACAATTGTAGCGGAAATGAGTGCTAAACCGAAGGATTGTTCGGGATATCGAAAGCCCTTGTCCGCACCGATTTAAGGTTGGGAAGCCATTTGTTCTTGATGCACACGATTCACGCTGGCACACACATCTTGTTGCAGCTTAAACCAGGAATCGCAATGCTACGCCATTTAAAACGCTCAGGATAAGTAGGGCTTGCGGAAGCGATAAGTAGTTGGTAATTTCCAGTTGCCCTGGACATGGGGCCGAGAAGTTGAATTTAATGCTGCACGTAGGTTGTCCTAAATACGGCATAGTCTTGAGCATACAGCATTCCGCGGTACGCAGCGTGTGTTGATGTTGTTCAGCCTACCTGTGGTAAATGCCATACAAAGAAGCCATGCAACTCCTGATATAATACGAAGTACATACATTTTCCACATCTTATCTATACTGTACAATACTTCTTCGCTACCTCCGGTCGTACGATGCACACGACGTGTACGAGCGTGAATGCCATACAATTGTGCACCGCAACTCCAACTTCCTTGACCATTAATTACTTATCGCTTCCGTCAGCCCTAACCAACCTGAGCGCTCTGAATCGGGCAGCACAGCAGCGATTCGAGGGTATAAAAGTACCTCCACCCCAATAAACACTCTCACCCCGCCCAACAGCCTACCTGCTGCTGAGGTGTCATCTGACCGGCCCCTGCCGGTTGCTGTTGTTGTTGCGCTTGAGCCATGTTCCCCCTGGGGCCTTGCATTCCTTGCTGCATCTGCATCGGCTGCTGCACACCATTCATTGACATCCGCTGCTGCTGGGGCTGCACGCCTTGCTGCTGTGGTCGAGGGGCGGCCCCAACCATAACCATAGGCCGCCCACTCTGCGCCATGCCTTGCTGCCGCACGCCTTGCTGGACCATGCCTCCTGCCGCCATCCCTTGGACGCCTCTCGCCATCTGCTGAGCAGGTTGGAACTGCCGGCCCTGCTGCTGCTGCTGCTGCTGCCCCGACATTCCACCCTGCCCTTGCTGAAACTGCTGCGGCCTTACCTGTCCCTGAGGCCTCGCCTGCTGTTGTCCTGGGAACTGCTGGGGCGCCCCCCGCGCCTGCTGCGCTCCCTGCATCGCTAGACCTCCTTGCATCACTGGCCGAACCTGCTGCTGCTGCTGCTGCTGCTGGGCTGGCGTCGGCTGCAGGATTGGTATCGCCCGAGGTTGCTGTTGCTGCATGAACTGCTGCGGTCGAGCCTGCCCCTGGGGTCTCGGCTGCTGTTGCTGTTGCGGCTGGAGAACCTGCGGGCGAGGTTGCTGCGAAGGTGCAGCCGAGGCACGCGTGAAGGAAAGAAAGGATCGGATTCCGAGACGACCATGGGCAGGAAACATTCAGCAGCATCGGTGTTCGGTGCAACGACACAAGCAAATAGCACTATTGGTCACCCGTCTCTTTATCCCACACGCATCTCCCTTCCTTTCAACTACCACCTCATCTCCCTCTAGGTAATCTTAACGATGACCTTGCTCACACCACGGTGTCTCAACACAGCTTTCATTCACTGGCTACGTTTGTTTTGATGTTCGCTGATAATCCTTCGACATAGAGTACACTGGGCGTGACGAGGACGTGTCCTGGCCACGAACATCATGAGACTTGCCCACGAGCCCAACTCATCAGCGGTTGGAAAACAGGTCAAGGGGACATGAGTAATACTTGACACGGGACTACTGTCGCGCCAGAAGAAATGTTTTTGACACAGCTGGCCATGAGTGTGAGTGCTCTCTCTCTCTCTCTCTCTCTCTCTCTCTCTCTCTCTCTCTCTCTCTCTCCCTCCCTCCCATTTAGTCTGTGTGCCCTTCTATCCGTCTGTCTGTCTGAATTTGTGTCTGCCTCTTTCGTATATTTGTCTGTCTCACCATGCCCGTTGGTCGACCGACCATCTGCTGTTGTCCACCTGCGTTCATCGACATCCCCATCCCCCTAGGAGCCTGACCCCCCATCACTGGTGGACCTCGAGCACCAATCATCCCTACCCCTCGATTCTGTCCCGAAAACTGTTGTTGCTGGGACGCCATTCCACTCTGCGTCCCCGCCGTCATCGACATAATCCCGGCACTGCCCACGGCCAACTGCTGCTGCGGCGGGCCCCGTCCCTGTTGAGTGCCTTGCATGCCTGACCCTCCTTGCATCATCGGCCTCGCCTGCAGCTGCTGCTGCTGATGCTGCTGCTGATGCTGCTGCTGATGCTGCATGGCTGGCTGCATTGCCGGGCGCCCTTGCTGTTGTTGCGACGGCATCATGGGGCCCTGCTGGAACTGCGGTCTCGGCTGCTGGTGCTGCTGTGTCGGACCGCCACCAACAAGCGCCGAAGACGAACCTCCTGCGGGAACCAAGCTCCGACCCGCGTTGCTGCCGCCACCAACAACGCTACCCCCCCCACCCACCGCCGCCCGGCCAGACGGAACCGGCGTGCGCGCCGGTCCTCTGGAGGTGCTGCCGCCGACGGCCGCCGGGCCCGACGGCGGGGGCGGGCGGGCAGGGCCGGGGTTTGTACCGAGACTCGGGTCGCTCGGTCGTGGCTGGTGCTGCTGCTGCTGCTGGTGAAGTTGTGGCCGAAGCTGGGGGGACGACGCACTGCCGAGGATCGGCCCAAGGCTGGGCGGCGACGCCGACGTTGATCTCTGCGGCTGTTGGGCCCCCTGCTGCTGCTGTGACGGGACGCCTCTCGGCGGCGACATGCCACCACCGAGGTTTACGTTCCCGAGCGAAAGTCCCATGGGCGCTGACTTCCGCCGGTGCACCCCCGATGCGGCCGCTGCTGCCGGGACCGGGCTCCCCAACTGAGACGGTGGCCCCTGCTGCTGCTGCTGCTGCTGCTGCTGCTGCTTTTGTGGTCCCTGTCGCTGCGGCGGCGGCGACTGGGAGGCCTGCCGCGGTAGCGGCGCGACATGCGGCTCGAACGTGTCCACAGAGTCCGGGTCCAGCGCAGATATTATACTTGGTGTGGACCGCGGGCGGGAAAGCCCACTCCCCCCCCCGCCGCCTTGCGGTGGCCCTCGAGGCGGCGGCCCTAGAGACAGCGGCCCTTGAGGTGGTGGACCTTGAGGTGGCGGCCCTGGTGCCGAGAGGGGTGCCACGAGGGTGAGAGCGGTGGATCCTGCTGCTGGGAGAGTGGGGCATGCAAAGAGGAAGGAATCACCATAAAGTGGTATTGGAGATGACGTCTGGTCTACCATACATGAGTGCGACTCTACAGGTCACAGGTACTGTAGGTGATCACGCACGCCTCGTAGAGGAAGACACGTATCTGGAGAACCGAAACTTCGAAGCCTGTGGATGAGCGCCTAGCCTGTGCGAGACGATAGAAGCATGGACTCCTTCATACCAAGATGAAAAATTGTGCAGTAGCAGTGCTCAATATTGAGGGTACACCTTCTCGTAGATATGGTGGCCCCTTTTTCGGCGTTGCTTCGGCGATCAAAAAAGCGCACCGACAGACAGCGGTAACCTACCCCCTCTCAAGCAAGTACAGTGGTGAATCACTCGCAAAGGCGCAATCAGCCAGCAAACACGATTGCAAATCTCCCTCACCTCCGCCCGCCCCCGCCCCACCCCCGACGACGCTAGAGCCACCGACGGCCCCTCCAGGGGGTGTCCACGCATTCGGCCCGCTCGCAACAACAATCGCCCCTGGCTTTGCGGGGATGAGCACGGGGGTGAAAGCCTGCTGGTCAAACACCGGGTTCTGCGGCTTCAAGGGCTTGGACTTCTTGGGCGGCAACGACTTCCTCCCGGGGGGGGGCGACGCCGACGAAGGGGAGGGGGGCCGCGCGTCGTCCCCGACTTCCTCATCTCCGGAGTCCTCATCCGGGGCAGAAGGGTGGTTCAGCAGCCATTCCACCGCCTGGTCCACGTCTCCATCAGACCGCTCCAGCGCTGCTCGCGCCTTCCTCGCCGAGAAGCCCATCTCCATGATCTTGTCCGCCCCCGGGGGAAGGCTGCCGCTGCTTTTCTTTCTCGCGACCCCCCCCCTGTCCTGAGACGAGCTGCGGGGCTCCCGTTTCTCGAGGCCGTTCTTGCCGGCCTCCGTGACGTCGTTGAGCTTACTGAAGGAAACGGGGGGTGGCGACATACTCTTCGCCCGCAACGGTCGATCGCCTCCGGCCGCCAGCGGCGGCATAATCATGCCCTGCGACGAAAACGGCCTGCTCCCCGGCATCGCCGCCTGCGCCGACGGCGGAGGAGGCCTCCCAGGCACCGGCTTCCTGTCGCCGGGCGTGGGAGAGGTTGCAGACCCGGGCGGAGGCGGCGCGGCCGCCGGGGGCTTTGCTCTCGTTGCACCCCCGCCGCCGCCCGCCGCCGCCGCCGCCTTCAGCACGTCGATGCTTGATGGCGTCGGGGACAGCGCGGCCGGGGTGCTGAGGGGGTCGATGGCGGCCGGCGCCGGTAGGGCAGATGCGGCGGTCGGCTTGGCCTCGTCTTCCCCTCCGTCCATGAAGGCTTGCAGGGCGACGGTGAAGTTGGTGAGCTTCTTCTTGCGGTTGTCTGCTTCGACACGGTCTGCCTCGGTCGGCTACGGGAACACAGAAAATATGCAAAAGGTCAAGAGCAAGATCATCCATCCCGCAGAGGGACAAGCGAGAGAGAGAGAGACACACACACAGAGAGAGAGAGAGGCACAGAGGAAGAGGGAAATCGGAAAAATGGGCTGAGAAGCCGATAACGTCGATCGAGAGTTTCCAGGGAAAAAACGGAGCCCTACGGGCCCCTGATGAACACAATACTGCCGCTTAACTTGAAGGGCGTAATGCACCATATAACTAAGCGAATCGAGCCTCGCCCTGCCACAAAGCAACCACGCAACACACCACAGCACGGACAGACACTTTTGGCACAAGCCACCCTCATCATCTTGCCCCTTGTTGGTGGCGGGATCACTCATCACTGTCACTATTGTCACTCACCACGTACGACTTCTCCTTGCTAGATCGTCGCAAGAAGCTCGATTTCGTGGGCGTCGTCCTGGCAGCGCTAGGTCGCTGGACCTTCTTCGCTGCCGCTTCCGCTTGCCGGTCGCCGAGCACGTCTTGGGTCTCCCAGATACCTCCCCTGGCAAAGGATACAAGACCGCACCATATCAAAACGAATGACACTCAGCCGTTGGGGGGGTCCGTGCAACGACGACGTCATGCGCTAGCCAAAAGGAAAAGACGAAAAAACGGGGAAAGTGCCCTCGGAAAAAAAGGACAAAAAAAGCACTGGTTGGAATCATTTGCCAGGCAGTAGGGAACGTCGCTGGAGGTCGACAAGTGCAGTACTTCGAATGATTGAGAGATCAACACCTGTTCCTGTGGCAGTACTTCCAACCCAACCTCAAGCGACTACTGGTTCAAAATCAGGCCTTCCACAATGTACTCCTGTCTCACCCCGACAGAGATGCGTCAAGAAAACAAGACTACCATGGCATGCATACCTGTACCGAAAGGTATCAAGTCATCCATAATGGGGCGACACACATGTGTAGTTTCGAGAGCGTTGACTGCCTGAAGCAACTCTATCGCCCGCTGATTGGCTAGGGCATCTATCGCTGCAATGTTTACGAGAGCCAGCGGAACGCACTTGTCGACCAGGAGGGCTCTGTTAATCTTGGTGTCGTCCTTGGGAGGGTGGAAAATCCGGACCTCTGCGGCTTGGTCAGTGGGCCGGCTGGGCAGCACCGCCTCCGCCACCGAGAAAGCGTCGAACATTAGACAGAACTCACGGTGCGCCTGTGCAAGAGACGAGACAAGGCAAGACAAGAGATAATTACAAGAAAAGGCAAATACGAGAGATGAAACACAAGACAAGACAATTCAAGCCAAGCCAAATAAGACAAACAAAACAAGACATGAGACGTTGACACAAGGGGGCGTTGACGCGAAAGACGCGAAGGACACACTGGCCCGATACAAGACGAGACACGCCCTCAACGCGAGACGCGCTATCAGCTAACTTGATGTCATGTGCAAGTGGCGTGACTCGGCTAAAAAAAATCAAACAACGAGCCACAAAGGCGGTGTTTATTGTGGGAGAGGGGAGGACAAGGCCGGGGAGAAGGGCGTGTTTGACGACGTAGAGAGGTGAGAGCTTCATGATGATCCCATCCCATCGGCCTTCCTCTCAGCTATCAGCGTGATTGCAATCACAGCAACGCAGGTAAAGCACCATGGTCTACAGCGATCGTCACCCAGCTGACATCTGCACACCGCCACCATTGATTCCTAGACACGGATGCTAGGGCAAAGCGCAGGAGAAACGGAACGGTGCTTACAACGAATAGTCAGTCTTGGGGGCGCTAGATACCACCGTACCCTCACCTCATGCAAAAACGCCTCCGTCTCTCTAGCCTTCGCCGGCTCCACGTTCAGTCCGGTCTCTCCATCCTTCGAGCCAGCCCTTTCACGCCAGACAACAACAGGCCGCATCCGATTGAGGTTTGTGTGGACGTTGTTGCTGCTGCTGCTGCTGCTGCTGCTGCTGTAGTTGTTGTTGTTGTTGTCTTCACAATGAAAAATCGTCCCGTTTCGGTTTCTGTTCCTGTTCGGTGCTTCCGACATCAGTGTACCGGTCCAACGGACGCGGAGGACATCCTCCGTGGTCACGGACCAAATACTCCAAGAACGGAACATACACCCTACGCAAAATCAAACCCAAAGAGGACCCAGAACACACCACACAAACACGACAACAACAAAACCGGGAAAAAACAACAAACCGCTCTCAATGCTCGCACACGCACCTCTCGAAGCTGTTGACATTCAGAACGTGGTAGGAGAAGTCTAGCAGCTCGAACTGATGCCGCTGCCCCAATAGGTGCATGATGACAGCACCGGCGAGCCCGAAACCGTCGCCGAATTGCACCGCGTCGGTTACACGGGCCTGGATGTGACAGTCACACCGACAAAAACGGGGGGAACCAGACACGGGATACGGGACAGGAAAACGTCAAATATGGAACTAGGACCGCCATGTCAAGACATGTATTGGGATGGGATATGTCATGTTCAACGAGAGTGCTGAAACATCAACGTATGCAATACGCAAGAATGGAAGACGACACAAACAATATTAGCGAAGACATAAAAGTGAACGGTACTTCCTACCCAATGAATTCCTTTCTATAAGCCGTAGTTCCTGTAGATTTGATTAATGGAGAGTGGGGGGTTTCGTTATCCGCAAAAAAGAACACACACTGGGGCATGAACCATGCGTGGAAGGAACATGCCAACCCAACAAACACGACCGGTTGTCCGCGTGTCAGAGAGGCAACCCACAGGGTACAAACAACCTTGTCGTGGACTTCACGTGCCACCGCAAGTTTCGTTCCATCACAACACCGGTCCAACGCAAACAGACCCAAAACAACCCAACCTACTCGTGAGTCTTGAGGTGTGGGGGGGAACTTTTGCATGGAAGCATCATGATCTCCTCAAGTAGCGCACCTGCACTTGCACCCATTTCAGTCAAGACACGCCACCATGTCGACCTTAAAAAAATGTGTTAGTGTGTCGGCCATTTACCATGTGCACACGCAGACAGGAATCATACGGTAGCATACCTCGCCCTTCGCCTCCGGCATACAGAAAAGGAAGTTGAGCGCACTGAACAGCCGGCTGAACGACACCGATTCTTCCACGTCCAGCACCTTCAGGTTACACACCGTCACCGTCATCATCATCATCATCATCAAAACCATCGTCAGTATCAGCAGCAGCCGCATTATCATCATCAGTATCAGCAACGTCATCATCATCATCATCATCATCGTCACCAGCGTCATCATCATCGCGCGAGTCAAACGTAAACACCAAGCTCCACGATCGACGAGGTCAAAGTCGGCACAGCGTAACGCCGAGGTTGCCATCAAGAATACACATACCTCAAACCGCGTGAGACGAAACTGCACCGCTAGATAGGTACAGCTCCACACGCGGAACGTCTTTTTCGAGAATATCATCGCGAGCGCTAAGCGCTCCTGTTCTGTACAACACTCCGAGAGCCACAGCATAATACAAACCTTCGTGACCGCGCTACATTTCATTAGCAGCAACGGCTCAAAGCTATCAAGCTATCGACTCACCCCGTTGACAGGTTGAGCTCCCACCCAGGCCTCTCTAAGCCGGAGCACGTCTAACGCGGTGCTCAGTTCGCCCAACGTGTGTCGGAAGATGCTTGCGCTCGTGGCCAAGTCCTTGCAAGCCGCCTGCCCCTCCAGGACGGCGTCTTCTAGACCTGACAAGCTCGCTGGGGCACAGCCACCACCATAATCCGTAGCAGCAGCAATCGCATAGGCAACATCGCGTCGGAATCATTAGCGGCAACAGCAGTAGCAGGCTCCGACCAAGATGGTAACGAGTCCGTCGTGGTGAGATGTTTTCTATGTCCTTAGGCGCAGCTAGCTCGCCTTCCTTCCAAGCCATGCCGCGTAAACAGCTTGCCACAGGCAAAAAGCAATATGCTATAAACAACCAACAACAGGTCAAGTCACCCCCCGCCTTGCAGCATGGTGATATCATCAACGCAGAGAACCCCATCAACCACGGCCAACAACGAAAATAACAACAACGACGACGACGACAACGAACACTCACCCCCCGCCTCTCCCGTCAAGTCTGCCCCTCGAACCAGCGCCGTCGTAGCAGCCACCAGCCTCGTGCGCTTTGGGTCCCACTTCTTGGAGGAGGATAGTCCCATCACCGGCACCGTCTGGACGAACTTGAGGCAGTCAAGACCCGCCGAGGCTTCGCTGAGGCACTGCAAGAACGCTAGCGCGTTCCCGAACTCTCGGAAGTCCTGCCGACGGGAGGGGACCCGCGGTTGACGGCGAAGTGGTGGTGGGGGGGGG